AAGAATTAATTATATCTTCTTTAACTTCATTGAAAAGTAAAACAAGATTTTTCAAGAGATTGCTTAAATTAGGTAATAAGCATTCATAATTAACAAAAGTTTATGAAATTTGAAGGCAGGGGAAAAACAGTAAACATATGTATTCTTTATCCTGCTTTGTCTTCTGTGTTACTTTATTTTTTCATATAAGGGCAAATGTTCAGTCCTGAGATTGTTTTAGCTCCATTATTATAAAAGCAGAAGCAGCAGTAACTCCTGACAAAAAGGCTAGAATATGGTATTAGAGGTTGGGGGGTTGGGAAAGATAGTAGGGTGAGTGGCTTTTCCTTTTCCATTTAAAAGAGTCCAGGAATTTGTCTCAGCTATTGAGTTGAAAATTTGATTATTCAAATAAGTAGTTTAAGAATGCTTAGTTTTCACCTTTTAGATTTTATATACATCAGTTTCTAAATTTCTTATAAGGTTTTTGAGTATGTTTGTATACTGTATTAGTGTGTAAAACTGCCTTTTTAAAGAAAGCTATATATATATATGGAGAAGTAGATGGCTTAGTGAATTTTCTAGAAGCCAAATACACCCATGTAACCAGCACCCAGATAAAGAACATATGATGTATGTGTTTTGTGTTACATATATAGGATCATACAATAGAATTTTTTTATGTTTGGTTTCCTTTATTTGCTATTATGTCTTGAGATTCATCTGCATTGTTGCATGTTGTTTTGGTTGGTTCATTTTCATTGTTCCAGTCCTTTGTATGACTGTATCACAACTACTTTTTTTATCCATTCTGTTAATGGACATTTGTGTTGTTTTCCATATAATGCTACTATAAACATTCTAATACATATTTCTAGATTAATATGTTTGCATATTTCTTTTGTGGATGCCTGTCAGTAGAGTAGTGGTTAAATGAACTATGGCATATCTATACAATGAAATACTCTACAGCTGTAAAAAAGAAAAGATGTTCTCTAAATATGTTATATTTGAAAATTATTTTTAGAAACTTTTAAAAAATCATTTTGATTTTAAGTAGGATATTTTGTTAGCATCTATTTGTGTACAAGTTATGAATATTCGTAAGACTTTCAGTGACACTTTTATTCAGAGATATTTTAGATGTATGTTCTGATTATGTGCTATTATTGCAGAAAAGTGTCTTTATGTGCTCTAGTATATTTTTATCTTGTCAATGATATATATTATAAACTTCCTGTTTATTAATTTTGGATTTATATTTCATAATGAGAGTAATTGCCTATTTAAAAATATATTTTGCCTCTGATCACAGTGCTGAAATGAAAGAAAGGCAATTGTACTTAACTCTTAACTAAGCACTTAGATATTTTTCACTTGTCATTACATTTCTTAGTTTAAAGCATCAAATTAAATATTATTTTATCCTGGCTTTTATTTTAATTCATGCATTTAAAAACTGAAATTCAGATAAAAGATAGTTTCAAAATAAATTCAGTATATTATTTATGAGTGGAGCAACACATTAGCATTGGGTTCACAATAGATCATATCGCTTTTATTCCATCTTACAAGCTTAGCAGCACAAACAGAATAATCAACATATTATTTGGCTGTCATCTGCTGAACAGAAACCAGAGATCACAAGGAGGTTTTCCCTAGCTGTGGTGATGGCCTTTTTGTTCCAAGCCCCCATCTGGGAGGGCCATGGTGTGTTATCATATGGAACGCGGGGTTTTCTGTAATCTGCTTAGCTGCACTGCAGTTTGAATCTTCATTCCATGTTTGTGTAATTTATAATTTTAATGAGACCACGGCTCTTGTGGGCTTTGAAATATATTAAAAGCTCTTTTGTGCATATGCTTTTGTTCTTGCTTAATAGGCTCAGTGTATTTAAAACTGATGAATTTTTATTCATGAATTTGGATGTCTGGGGATTAACTTAGACTGAATATCATTACACTCATATAGTGATGCTTAGAAAGTTTTTTTATTGTTATTATTTTGTTTTTATGTGTGTCTCTGTGTCTATGTGTCTGTGTGATGATACTTGTTACCAGAAAAGGAAAGAACTTACATAGTTTTAAAAGGCTAGGAAAAAGAAACATGGCTAGATCATAAAGAATTGATTTAGATTTTTATCCATCTTATTTATTGATACTCATAATTCATCATTAGTCTTAGTATTTTAGATAAATATTATAAAGGAATAATTATGAAAAGCAACTTTTCAATGAGTTAATACCTATATACTATTGTTTATATTGAAATAATATTCCAGTGTATGACAAAGATAGACTTTGTATTTTAATTGTATGACATCAATTGTCTAGTCATACTAAATCTGCCATTAACTTTCTGGAACTAAATTAGGTATATATGTTTTATATTTTAACTATTTATAGATTTCTTTCGGTTAAACCCTTTTTATTAATGAATTTTTTAACCTACAATGATGGATATAATGAAAAGAATAATGGAAAAGTGAATTTCTAATAATTTATGAAATTGACCTTTTTTATTTTGCTAAAATACTGAAATACATTAAATGCTTCAAATCTGTACAGTTATTACTTGCATTTTTAAAATTTGAATATAAATAATTATATAGCACCTTAGAAAAAAATCATGGCCTTTCTGATCTAGAAATGTTTTTTGAAGTTGCTGTCTATTGGATTCAATTAGTGGTGACATATAGACCTAACTAGTCTTTAGTGAAGTTGCCCAAGATGTTTTTTTGTAAAATTCTATGCTTAAGACTAAAGCATTTTTGTAACTATAAAATATTGTTTTCTGGTACATAATGATCAGCAGCTTGGTTGGTCCCTTCTCCCCCATTACCCTTAAGGTAGAGATATGAAATACAGGTGGAAATGAGCATTTTGTTCTTTTCTAAGCTTATGTATCAGATTTGGCATTGGAATGTTTGTTCTTCCATGATAACCCTCTGCTTTAGTATTTTTTTTTAGTTATGCAATTTCACAATTTAGGGATTATTGAAAATTTATGATCTGCTAACGCAATGCTGTTCAATTGATATATAATGCAAGCCATTTATGTATTTTATTTAATCCATTATATCTGAAATATCATCTTTTCAACATGTAATCAGTATAAAATATTTTATTATTTTTTGTTTTTATGTCCTCAAAGTCCAGTGTATATTTTATACTTAAAATGTATCTCAGTTTGGACTAGTCACATTTCCAGTGCTCAGTATCCATATGTAGCTAATGACTACCTTATTGAACAGTGTAGCTCTAAAGTACTGCATATAAATATCATAACAAAATATTTTTTGCATTCCTCATTACTTTTCTAGTAATATCCTATTTAGGATGACCAAAGAATATTCACGGGCTGTCATTGAAATTACATACAGTGTTTTCTATTGCTCTGTGACTAATACTAATGGTATATATCTGCCTGATTAATACACAAAATCATAATTATGTCCTCTGACTCCTGACTACGTAGATATTGTAATAGATATGCCTAAATATATTGTGATGATAAGGAGATAATGGTTAATATAATGGATGTAGTATGCTCCTCAACAGTTGTGGGCAAATCAAAGTTGTCAGATATATTTCAAGCATACCAGGGATCTTAGTTTTATAAGAATCCCATTGCATGCATGTCTTAATGCTTTTTTTTTTTTTAACTAAAGTTGAGAACTCCTCTTCTCATTGTTAGAATTTTTTGCATTGGTGTTTGTGTGATTGTATCTCTTTTCATATAAGTTTGCTTAGAGTTCATTTAGCTTTAAACTTCTTGACAGGAAAAAACTGAACATAAAGTTCTCTAGGATTCCATACATTTTAAATGTTCTGTATATATTCAAATATAAGTAGAGGGAACTTCACTAATACTTTAAAAAGATGTAGTTAAAGAACTATAAAACCTTGAATTATAATAAATAATAATAATAATAAATAAATATTTCAAAGTATAAAATGATCAGGATGATGTGTATAAAATACTGCTACTGCACCCACTTATATGTAATTAACCTTGCTCAAGTATGGTTTCAAGAGAAAATCGTTATGTTATGAGATCTCTGAATTTTTCACATTTTGAAAATTTTAACACTTTAGGATTTTGAGGGAAATGAACTAATTTTTATGTAATCTAACTTTTATGTAGATATTGCATAATGCCTGTTGTATTCTTTTACTCACTTAAATTTTTATTGACTACTCTGACTTCTGCGTTTAAAGTATTGACACAAAATGTTAAACTATTCTTTAAACAATACCTCTAGTTTCTTGAAGATGATAAATCCATCCATTGATTTCCTAATTTTATTATGTACACAGTCAATTGTAATCCAAGATTACAGCAAACAAGATGTTAATTTCGAGCCATAATCTATGTACATTTCAATTACAGAGCATGATTGTTATAGAACCACAGAATAAAAAGGAATAACATTTGTGCTATCCTCACAGGAGCTGTCAATAAAAGATGTAATAGGGGATTTAGGAATCTGGAAATGGCCAACTAATTTATGTGAATCTATTTTATTTCAGCTAGAAAGACCAAGCTCTTTTTCGTCTGCACTGCATATTGCAGAGCACAGGCTGTCTATAGAAAACCAGGCGGCTGCATATGGATAGTCCCTTGATATCATTCACTTGCTGTGTAATCTTATTATGCAAAGTTCTAATCTTCACCTAGAATGAATGCCTCTGGGTCAGAATATAGTCATATCAGGGTTTTTGAGGTCATGTTTTGTGATCCTTAGCTTATTCTTCTAAGTAGAGCTGGGATTTAAAGGGTATTCCCCAGACGCTAGCAGAGATAGACAGCAGAACCTGCTGCCTTTTTGGAAGACAAGACCAACATGAGGTCCCTGGTAGGATTAAACTTGATTTGTAGCTGTAGGATTTTTTAACAGATGTATTATTGGACAGGGAATAGGGGGCCACCAGCACAGCAAAATTGAATCACGACTGGCATTCTCAGGGAGTTTGCTGCCTTCTAAAACAGCAGCTGCATGTGGATTTGACTTCTTTCAGGTGAAGCGACTTCCAGTCATTTGGAAAGGATGGGATGAAAAGGAACCTTGGTGATAATTTTGATGTCTGCAAGATTTAGTACCAGTGTAATGGGATTATCGGTAACACCTTCACTGCAGAAAAAGCCACCTGGCGCTATAACTGGCAGCAACTGAGAACTAATCCTTTCCCATCTCTTGGATGTCATTCATGAAGCTCAAAGCGATTTCTACCCCGCTAACTGTGATTAATTTTATAAACAACAACAACAGAAAATCAGGTGATCAAGGCAAAGAATATGCTTTTTATTAATTATTTTTAATACTTAGCCTAATTATAATCTATATGACTTATAAATTATGTAAGACATACATAAACTATATGTTAAGACTTAAAATTTATTAAAATATTCAAATAAAAAAGTTGGTTATTAATGTCTTTTATACTTTTTCCAGTTAAATGACAATGTATTTACTATTTAAAAAGTATTATTTTTGAGATTAAATATTATTTAAATACTTTTTCTTTTAGATATAAGGTCATTATCAATAAATTAATCAAAATATCTGTAAGTGTAAGGAACTGAAATAACTTGTTTTGTCATACATTTTACCTGTTTCTGACTGCTTTGATTGTTGCTGATTAAATGTTTTTTAGTGAGTAAAATCTTTAATGATATAAAAATATATAGAGATTTATATTTTTGATAATTAATGTAACGCTAGCTCAAACTGATGAAAAGAGCTTTTTGTGTAAGTGTATGGTCTTGATAGATAAAACTCCTAAAATAGTTAATATTAATACCGAATTGATATCTTTTAAAATCAGAAATTCTTAGTGAAAGTTTTCCTTCAGCAAGTAAAGGTTTAGTTGTTAATTGCTCTAGGATCATGTATTAGTTAATTAAGGTTTTTTTTTTAAGCATTTTATTTCGACTAAAAACTTTATCAAGTACTTTGTTTAGAGGTGTTAATTATTTTTATATTCTTCTCCTACATGGTCCAGAATAAACTGAAGGAAAATGAAGTGAAATTATCCCATCAGTCACCCAAACAGTATGCAACATAACTGCCAAGACTAGAAAAGATAATTAGTGTTGTCAGTGTTATGATCCTAGAGTACTTACTTTTAAAATATTTATTCATAGAACTTGATTTTTATCTTGTTGGTTTAGTAGCTTTATATTTAATAGATTATAAAACCTTAATCTTAATGTTTTTAAACTTTAAATTTTAACTATAGGTGAATAAAATAATTTTTGCAATTATAAGAATTATTAAAATATAATCATCCGTTATACACAAAGCATTGATTTACTTGTAGCCTCTGTTTATGTATAGTACCTTTTATTCTTCTTTATAGGAGATGTTTATCAGAAAAAACAATAAATATAAGAAATTTATGTAGAGATCTTTGGTCAAACCTACCTAGCAAACTTGTCATTATTAATGGATTTTGTTTTAACTGGTTCCAAGCTATTATATTCCAAAATGTGTTTCTTCATTTGTTGTCACATTTTAAATGAATGGGTGAGAAAGCTTAACAGTATGTTTACTGAACTGTATTATGTTAGTTTGTAAAGGATTTCTTTAGCCTTCTATTTATATTTTTACTTTTTTTATTTATATTTTTACTATTTGAAATTGTGTTCATTTAAAATTCTGTCAAGTGAATAGATCTATCCATGAAATAAGTGGACTAAATTCCTTTTATCTTTATAATATAATCACTTGTATTTTAAATATAAAATTTTTGGTTTATGTGTAATTTCAGATTATTTTGCCAGGTAGTGTATTGTCTCAGGGTAACTTTTTGTGGTAGTTAATAGTATTTTATAATTATTTCCTAAAAGTAACTTTCAAAACAATTTGTCTCAAAGCTTTATTAAACATAGTCAATATTTACTTTTCTGCTTTTTATTCAGCTATTTATTGAATGGCTCTTGAGAGTTAGTTTTTTTCCTTCTCCATCTTAGGCATTATTTGATTAGAGATGGTTATTTCCTTTCAAAAGCCCCAAATTCATCTTACTTAAATTTACTATAAACATATAAAGTCTTCTCAATGATGTACATTATTTTCAGGTAGATTGAAGATTACTTTAATACTGTATTGATAACTTATGAGAAATGTAACTCATCTTTGAAAGCTACAGATACTAAATTTATTGGCACAGTGACTAATGACGTCAAGGAGGTGAAGGGAGGTGATTTTAGAGATAAGAGAAAGGGAGATAGACTGAGAGAAATAAGAAATTTTTGAAAAGGAGTTAAGTCAGATGTACAAAAGCAGTATGGGAATCAGGAATTCTTGATTATTTGAGATTCTGAATTTTTTTTAAATGTTTTTAATTTTTTTAAATTTATTTATGATAGTCACACACAGAGAGAGAGAGAGGCAGAGACACAGGCAGAGGGAGAAGCAGGCTCCATGCACCGGGAGCCCGACGTGGGACTCGATCCCGGGTCTCCAGGATCGCGCCCTGGGCCAAAGGCAGGCGCTAAACCGCTGTGCCACCCAGGGATCCCCTGAATTTTTTTTTGACAACTAATAAGACTCTGTCTTTCTTAAGGGTCATACATGAACTGTATACTGGCACAGTGACAGTCTGTGATAAAGCTAAATGATACTCTTTCATCTGAATGAATACCCTTCAACTATTGTACATACAACTTGTATATTGTTCTGAAATCAGTGGATCATATAGAGTCATTGGAGGATTACTGGTGGATGAATGAGATGGTTTTACTCTTTGAAAACTATTTTTTTTAAAGATTTTATTTATTTATTCATGAGAGAGAGAGAGAGAGAGAGAGAGAGAGGCAGAGACACAGGCAGAGGGAGAAGCAGGCTCCATGCAGGGAGCCCAACGTGGGACTCGATCCTGGGTCTCCAGGATCACACCCTGGGCTGAAGTTGGTGCTAAACCGCTGAGCCACCTGGGCTGCCCTGAAAGCTGTTTTTGTATGAAAAGTGTTAACGCTTTATGGTTTATAAACATAAAATGAGTTTTGATTTTACAAAAAGTACACTTCAGAAAATAACACTTGATTTAAAAAAAAAATCATTGAAATGTTAGCTGATGATGAAATTTAGAGTTCTCCCAAAGTTAGCATTCAGTTTAAAAATAATGGATGGTTGAATTTTGTCAAATTTCTAAAAATCCTGAGTGTGTCTCAGTGGTCTCGAATGACAGCACAGAGTTCTTTATGGGGCTTCCTTCCTGGGAGCTTATTAAAACTAGATTCTGTAGCCTTGCTCCCACGTCCCACAGATTCTCATTCATTAGCTCTATGATGGGAGCCTGGGAATTTGGATTTTGAATTAGGTTCTCAGGTTTTTTTATGGTACTGTCATATTTAAAGCAGTGAATACTTTAAACCTTAAAATGAGAGTAATTATTTCCTCTGGAAATGCATTAAAAAATAGTTTTAAATGAAATCTTCATAGATTATGGGGATCAGAACTTCTTAATTTGTAGTTCTAGAAAAATACCCTCTGCACAAGTCTTACAGTAGATTTAACATTATAGATTAGAACAATTCATGAGTAACTCTGAAGGTGATTTTGAAATGGTAGGAATTTGAATTACTTTGATGGAGAGGCTGCTGTGTGAGAGTGAATTATTTAGCTCTTGAGCCTAGTACACCACTCAGCATCCATGTCTTAATGAGTCTATTGTTTTCTTCATGTCACCATAACTTCTGTATGGGGTCTGAAATGGACATATATCTCTCAGTTATTTTATATATAATAATTATATCGGGATCCCTGGGTGGCGCAGCGGTTTGGCGCCTGCCTTTGGCCCAGGGCGCGATCCCGGAGACCCGGGATCGAATCCCACGTCGGGCTCCCGGTGCATGGAGCCTGCTTCTCCCTCTGCCTGTGTCTCTGCCTCTCTCTCTCTCTGTGTGTGTGTGACTATCATAAATAAATAAAAATTTAAAAACAAAATTATATGGGGAAAAAGTATTTTGTGTAGATATTATTGAATTTGAGAAATCACAGGAAGTCTCAGGAATGTCATTCTTGTCCAAATGAGGGAAAATGTAGTGAAACTATGATGTCAGGATTTTTTTCTCCTTCAGATTTACTTCTCTCTTCCTTCCTTTTTATGAATGTGAACATTTCTTTAAAGACTAATAAATTCACTTACTGTTCTTATCAAAACAAAAAAAGTTATGATTTTAATCAGTTCTTTGGCTGCTTATACTTTAAAATGAATGAATTTCTATAAATTAGTAGTCTCAATTAACATTAATACTTTACTTTTTTTCCCCCATTATTATTTAGAGATTTTAATTTTGAGAGAGAGAGCGCACACAGGGAGAGGGAGAAGCAGATTCCCTGCTAAGCAGGGAGCCAGACTTGGGGCTCAATCCTAGGACTCTGAGATCAGGACTTGACCCAAAGGCAAACACTTAACTGAGACACTCTGGCACTCCTTCCCCTATATTTCTGAAACAATGCTTTCTCTTCTTTTCAAAGGAATTCCAGACCTGAACAATCAGCTGAGGTTTTTTAAGTTTGTTTGGGTTTGTTGTTTTTTGTTTTGGTTTTTTTTTTTTTTTTTTTTTTTTGGTGATTTTGGGTATTCTGAAATCACTCTAAGGCTACTTCCATGATTAGATCTAAATCAGGATCTCAGAGTGTACTCCTGCTCCTAGAAACTTCTAAGGATAGAGGAATCTCTAGTTTCTTTTTAGCTTCTTCATCTTTCTAGGTGGCTTTCACATGAGTTGGACTTCTCTCTTTCCTGTGCCTATAGCATAGTGATGGACTTGGGAACCCACTTGTCTTATTTTGAGTTATGGCTCACACAGCTGCCTATGAGCTGTGCTTTTTTGATAGTTTCTTAACCTCTCTGTACCTCAGTTTTTTATCTGTAAAATGAGATACTTAAGTTCTCAAAGAATTACTGTAAGAACTAAATGAGTTAGTATATGTAATTAGAACAGTGCCTGGCACACGGCAATAATTACTATCTATTTGTTGTTGTTGTTATATTAGTTGTTATTGAGGGTTTTTTATGTGTAGTGAAAGAAACCATTATTACCTACATCCCACATAGTGTTTTCTCACTTTGTGTTATAGGAAGAAATCTTTTGATCTATAATGTAGATAACTGTTGAAAGTAGGTATCAACCTTATGCCTTTATGCCAGCATTATATGGAGTGTTACTGTATTTTAAACAGAGCATCTTAAAAGTTTCTGGGGAAGAATACTTTTTGCTTCTTTTCCTTTATTATGTGACATAGTCGCAATTTCTAAGTTTTCATT